AGGACGGAGCAACTTGTCATACAGTTATAGAGACAATGAATCTTTTGCGAACTGTATCTCCGGGATGTTTAATGTCTCGATTTGGTGATGTGAACTGGCCACGAAGGTCACCGGATTTAACGGCTCCTGACTTTTTTATGGGGATTTTTAAAAAATGGGGTTTGTGCCAACAAACCAAATACTGTAAAGCAGTTGAAGAACAATATTACGGAAGCGATTGAAAATATTCCTCCCGAAAGCTACCAAAAAGTGATGGAAAATGTAATCAAGAGGGCTCAAGTTTACGCGGCTTCTAGAGGCGGACATTTCTCTGATATTATTTTTCATACATAATTTCTAAGTTTCAATAGGATATTAAGATGAAAAAATATCGGCCACCCTGTATTTCCAGACGATTTACTACATGTTTACGCGTAGCACTCACGTATTCAAAATGTACGGTATATCAGCTTGGGCAGCCTCGTGCAAATCATACATCGCAGAAATAGATATATTACAAAAATCTATCTTGAGATCAGTATTTCATCGACCTAGACTATATTAATCAAACTTTATTTTTTACATACTGCCCAATATTCAGATAATCTTTTGTATATTTAGCCCCTAAGTTATACGTGATACCGCAAGAAATATGTGCCCTAAATATACACGATTATACTCGTATTGTAACTTGTTTGTGTTCATTGACTTTGCGATGTTTAAAATTACCCAAAAGCTATTAATGTATTTATACCGGGTGTTTCAAATTCTACTGTCACCATTGCAAACTCGGAAACGGTAAGAGATAACGAAGTCGCTTAAATAGAGGCAAAGTTGCGCATTTTGGTAACCGAGAAAATGGAACCTACAAAGGTTTGGAATTCCGAGTATTTTTGGAGAGAGACGAAAGAAACTGAAAAAGTCAAAATCGTTTTTATTTTCCCTGAATTTGATATACTATTATTATCTGCGGAAATACTCGGAATTGTTAAACTTTCTATATGGTTACCTAAATGCGCAACTTTGGTCTCAGTTAACCGACTTCGTATCTCTTACCGTTACCGAGATCCCAATGGTGAGAGTCGATATTGAAACACCCAGTACATCCGTTTATCTTCCTAAACAATTTACTTATTAGTTATATACAGGATGTCCGCAAAGTTGGGGTTTTCCTTTTCAGAAACAACTACCATTGAAATAACAAAGGTAATGTGTAGTGAAACGAGGGCGACCAAGTAAAAAAAAAATAAAGGAAAAAGTACTCACTCTCCAGTTGACGAGAAGCGCTAAGTACGTCTCTGCCTGAAATCGAAAGTTATTCACCCCATTACGCGTGAACGTAGATTCGTCTGTCTCCAATATGCACTTCATAAAGTCCGGATTATTGTCATGTTGATGCAACAACCGCACTCTTGCTGGAAAATCGTCAGGTTGAAGGGCTTGTACCCGTTGGACGTTTGCCACACTTTAGTTTTTGATACTTGAACTTCTCTAGCCACGTCTCTAGTGCTTGTTGAGGGATTCTCGTCTACGCGATTCAGTAGTTCTTCCTCAACTTGCACCATTCGTGGTTGTCTAGGCCTCCCACTGTGCTGACCTCGAAATTCCTCCAAATGGCCCGTATCCCTGACTCTCTGGACCAGGTACACAAATCTGCGGGGCCTTGGATGATGTCGTCTAGGGAAACGATCTGCATACACTCGCGACGATTCTGTAGCATTTTGAAGACATTCGCCATAAATTAACAACATATCAACGAGTTCATTATTGGTGTATGAGTGTGCCACTATTATTTTTTTTTTGGAAACGCAATCGATTATACGGGTTCGTTACCTCTATACGCGTGACCCTTTACCGTCGGTTGAAGGTTGCATACTGACCTGACACACTGACCCCGACCCCCGACCCAGTTCTGTCGTCGGGTTCAGCTAGTAGCCGGTACCAGTCTGGGATATCGCGGATCGCGGCGGGTCGCGGCTACAGGACGGTATTCAGATATTTTTGATGTTGCAGAGCCCTCTATCTCGGTTCCCTTAAGACATTGGTGTATATGGTACTAAGAAAAATTGCTTATGTTTTCAAGATCTACACGTCGTGTAAAGGAAAACCCCAACTTTGCGGACACCCTGTATTATTGTACAAGAGGGATGTGTATTATCTATGTAAAAATATATATGTAATATGGTATATACCTCAAATAGGTTAAATATCATCAACCCACAACATTGCCTAATGTGGATATTGTTCTATATTTATTAACCCCTTGGTTATTGTTGCTCAATAAATATATAATTTCTTTTCATCTAATAACAGTGAACACATCTGGCGGGGCGTGTGACGCGGCGCTTCTTTCTAAAATGATAAATATGCAGCAGACGAAAACACAAGTGTCGCCATTATGATTTTTCGCGCGTAAGAATATGTGTGTGTGTAGCCAGCTAATAGATTTACAAGCCAAGAAGTATCACGGTTCTGTGTGCCCGTATTAGGCCAGGAAATAGGTAATTTTCTCCAACATTTTGGGCGATAGTAATTTTTTTGACGGTATCAATATATTAATGCTTTCTAATGATAAGTACAAATTGGCATCACACTATGGCTGGAGGTTTAGCTGCCATTTTGATAAAGGTATTTGATCATAAATCTTCTAATCTATTGGTCCCATGTAAAAAAGTCAAGAGAACAATTTTTCAGGGAATCAAATTCTTGATCATTTTGCTCCTATAAAAATTTGACGCATGGTCAGCAGGTAATACTTTCTATGATCATTAATAAAAGTATTTATTTTGCAATAAAAAAAACGTTTTTTGCGCAGTTGATACTATTATCTGTCACTGTCTTGGGGAGTTTTCTTGTTTGTATGATATGCTATAGATATACGTAGACTGGTAGGTCATTATCATCATATCAAAAATGAATCGCTACACTACTAAAGAACGAGCGATTTCCATTTTGCACACAGAAAATGAAGAAGAATCTCATGATATATCCGTGGTAACTAACAACACCAATAGTCATTCAGAACCTCATGATGAGGCAGGTCCATCAAAGTGACCAAAAATGTAATTTTTACTGGAATACCGCCTCTATTTTAGGTTACGCAGCCGTAGAGGATCACAAATATGACCGAAGATTATTTTTATATTTACAATAATAAATCCTTAAAACATTATCTTCCACTCTCTTATCCTCCTTACTAATATTCCCACATTTTTAAACAAATGCATTCGTAAACTCCATCAGTAGAAGTTATATTGGAACAAATAAAATTTAACCTTAAAGTAATTTTTTCTTCTGTAAAACGTACATGAACATGTATGCATCACTTAAGGCATACCACGGGAGGACTTTCACACAACCCTAAAGCTTCCAGTCTTTATATCCCGATAGCACCAAAAAACGTCGCGGCCCCCCAGCAGAGGTTTCTGTAGACGGAAATCGTGTACCATGGACAAATTCTGCCAAGTATCTTGGTGTCACCCTTGATAAAGGCATGACCTGGCAGAAACATACAGCATCCATAAAAACAAAATTCCAAATTGCGTTTCGGCAACTATATCCTTTGTTATGTAGATCCTCCAAATTGAGTTTGATAAACAAAGTTCGACTATATAAAATGATTATTAGACCAGCCATTACTTATGCATGTGCGGCTTGGTGTTTTCTTGCCAAGACACACATGCAAAGTCTTCAAGTACTGCAAAGCAGAACTTTGCGGACAATTTGCAACGCTCCATGGTATGTCTCAAATGAGACACTACACAGAGACCTTGACATTCCTTACTTGAGGGATTATGTCAAGCTTCAGGCGCAGCGACGTTATAGTCAAGCGGAATCGCAGAGCAACCCTCTGTTGCGTGACTCAGTGGACTACACAGTGGAGCAAGTTCGTAAACATTCAAGACCACGGCTCGCACTGTAATCAAAAGTTATCGTGAATCTTTAGTAAACTCAAAATTACACTCTAACAAAACGGAATCAAAAAATTTGTTTTGTTCACCTCAAAATTAATCCGTGTACCAAGTCAGAAAGCCTAGGTGTTTCCTCTTAAACTAAGCATATCTGTTTTTCTTTGTTCTTCTCCTTTTTTCTTCTCTTTCCCTTTCTCTTTTTCCTTGACTTTGTCTGGTTTCTGGGCAACCAGGACTGACAGATTCGACTAACGTACATCAGACAGTGACTAATGGGCAAAGGTCCTACGGACCGCCCAGACAAATAAATGACGAATAGTATCCCGATAGCTTCAACTTGGTGAAAAAATACAAGAAACCTTTTTCGTAGAAATATCGTTACATGTACGTTTAGCCTTATATTTCTCGTAACCTGTATCCAATTGATTCTCTGCAAAATTGTTTTATGACTTTTTCACCTAGGGTGGAGAGTTTACGAGATTTCGTTCAAATGCACTTATCAAAATGGAGACAAAAGCTCCAGCCCTAGGTTGACGTCAATTTGCGCTTGGAATAATCTAACTACACCGTCAAAGAAATTTCAGTCGCCCAAAATATAGGATTTTCTTATATAAAAAATCTTCCTATTTTTTTGATTATATGGAGTGATTTAGTAAGAGACGCGGATCTAAGATGACGTCACGACGCACTGCGCGTCAGGCTCCCGGTTCCCAAAATCATGATGCTCCAGTGGAGGCCCCATAAAAACTTTCTGCTTTGACCACCACATATCCTAGATCCACTTTGTGGTGGATATTTCACCAACTGTGATTTAGTAACTGATATTTTCTAATCACGAATCATGACCACATACCGTGGAAAAGCGTGACGTGATCACAACTTCGGGAACTAGCTGATTCACGGCAACCACGAATGGCATCATGGGATCATATTATTTTCGAAAAACTGAATGGCCATAATGTAAAATAGCACATCACTAGACACATGTCCCCTTTTTACTAATTTTAATCAGATTAAAACTAATTTCAGTCACAAATTGCAAAATATCAAACACAAATAATTGTAAAATTGCCATTCTTTACCTAATGACCTTTGAACAAGTCTACTAACCTGTAAGGAATATCAGTAAGGTTTGTTTGCGAATGTGAATGTGGCACCTTGGCCACCGTAGATGCTCCAGCTCCAGTTTCCTTGGCCACACCAGCCACGGCCAATTCGTGAGCAGATCCGCTGAGGCTACGGTCGCTACCACGCCTCTTGGACAGCACTCCACTGGGTGGTGGGCCTCCTGAGCTCCCTGAGACCGCTGATGTACCCGTCGTTCCGGGCTGGGAGCCGCCAGCTGCTGCTCCGGTTGTTGGGGTTTTCTTTTTCGTTTGGCCAAATCCGAAGAACCTAGATGACAGATTGGTATCCACATGGAACGGTACTTGGGCCAGAAATTTAAGTTTATACCATTCACATATGTTTAGAAAAATAACCATGAACATTTCAGGTGCTTAAAAATTGGGAGCATACAGTGGAATTCATTTACGTTATTGGGCACTTATTTAAATGTGTACGAGAGAGACAATGACAAGCAACACGTATCTAGAAAGATTGTCCTATATAAGCATGCACAGCTTCAAGCGCGGCTTTTTTAACTTGCTGCGTTGCCATGTGTTACACCACTTTCTTTCATTATGATGCATGGCGGAAATAAGCTCGGCTAAGCGTTCTACGGCTTCTAAATCCAAAAAAGAAGTCTCTCTCCAATTTCATGTTACATTTTCATTTTATTAAAACGACTTATTTATTTCATTTCTTAAACAATCTAGTTTTTTAATTTCTTTCATTTATCTAGGATCTAGAATATAACGCAGTGTAGACGTTTCGCCAACAGCACTCAATCAACACAGGTCTAATACATTCGCAAAGACTCCAGTATATCGTAATGGAACATGGTTTGTATTGGGATTGTTGGATTGTCGGAGAACCGCTGAAACTGGTTCGGAATCGATTCTAAAGCGACAGTACACAATTCGCGATTCTAACATATCTACATTCAAAATAAAACCACCATTTTGGCTTAGAAAAAGGACTGCTTATTTTCACCATGCATCATAAAATAAGGAAATGCTGTCGCATTTGGCAATGCAGCAAGTTACAGCTGCGCTCTTGTACACATTGAAAGTGGGGCCCAAAAACGTAATTTATTGGACAGTTCTGGCCAAAGTGGTTTGATCGTTTAGATTTCCAATGTATCCGAGAAAGAGAGAGAGAAAGAGCAGCGTGTTAGAAAGTGTGCGGCATATAAGAGTCGTCACCATGTTGTCTGGCAAGTGGTAGTGACGACTCTTACATGGCCAACTCTTTCTAACGTGCTTCTCTCGCTTGTCCCTCTCTTTCTCTCTCTCGTACACATGGAAATTTAAAAGAAAAACGGACTTTGGTCAACACCGTATGTGAAAATCCTGCAAATTGAAAGTGCTAGTACATTACATACCTTGGTGGAGAAGTGTGCCATTATTATATATAATAATGGCCCTCACCACTTTTCCACCGAGTTATATATAACATTATTAATTTTACTACCAGCTATGATATATTACCACATCTACAGTGATTAGACTTTCAAATATAACATTTCAACCTGTCAAAATAATGGGATAAATAAGAACAATCAACAATAATAATTGGACAAAAGTGAGCCGACCCTTTAATCCAGAAACAAGGGTAGGGGAATCCGGGAGACTTGCCCCTCCGTGATATATTTACTTTAAAATTGCGCACCATAATCTGAAACGAGAGAAAACGGGACGCTTCTAGGCGTCTACGAAATTCTAGTTGACTTTTCTCAGTTTGTTTTGTATCTGACTCGAGGCATGTGGCTTTTTGCGTTTAAACCAAAAATTAATATTTCGTGACTTGTGAACAAATTATAAGGTAACTTCTTGTGTGGGTATGTCAATTAGACATTGTAGATTTATGCACCATAAATGTTAAACGTGCTCTATTCATGATTTTTAAGAAAATTGAACCTAACGTGAAAAAGAAAGGTGTGGGAGACTGGCCCATACCTCAGGAGGGAGACTTGCCCAAAGGGGCAACTCTCCCTTTCTCATGTAATTCTAAATTGGTATTTGTTTTTAATTAATTTTAATAAAAGTTAATGCATTTTTTTATTACAGGTCTGTACAATGGCATTTAAGTACAAAACAAAAGACGGTTCCACTCGCAAAAAACTTGATAAGGATGTTCTTAAAAATGCACTAGATGAACTAGCCAAAGGTCTCTTCGAAAAACTTCTGCAAAATATGATATTGATCGGAGGACTTTGAGACGCTACAAAAACAATGAAAATAAACTTGGAAAAATAAAGGCCAGTATAATACTTCACAAATATTTACCATACAAGAAGAGAAGCTTCTGGTTGAATATTTTTTAAATTGCAGCAAAATGCACTATGGACTTACTCGAAAACAAGGAATGAAATTAGCTTTTGAGTTTGCAGTTTCGAATTCCAAAAAAATTCCAGAAAGTTGGTCAAAAAATAGTATGGCAGGGAAGGATTGGTTTCGCGGTTTTTTATCAAGAAATCCCGAAATTAGTTTAAGAACTCCGGAGGCAACAAGCTTGTCACGATCTACAAGCTTCAGTCGGAAGAATGTAAATGATTTTTTCAAAACTTAAGGATTGTACTAGAAAAGTTTAAGTTTGAACCACAAAATATTTATAACAGTGATAAAGTAGGATGTACTACAGTTCAGGATTGTCCTATGCATAATAGACTTTTGTTTACTTTTATTTTTCATTCTTACTGTCATACTTTTTTAAAATTATTTTTATTTGTTTTTTGCATTAAACTTATGTTTATTCTGATTTCAAAGATTTAGATTTAGTTTCGTTCTTGAATAAGTAAAGTTTTTTGTTTTATTTTTTGAGTTTTTCGAATACAAAAGTTATTATTTACATTTGTTTTTATTTAATAAGGGGGCTGGGAAACTCTCCTTCTGACATTTTTTCAAAAAAATAAAAACCTATATATTTTTTTCTGACTCATTTTTTTAAGGTTTAAATGATGAAACAAGGTTCCTAAAAATATATGCTACGAAGTCATCCAAAATTTATTGATTTATATAAATAGGAACAAATTTTATCACCAATAATAAATTGGGAGGGCAAGTCTCCCGGACTTCCCCTATACTTTATCAAACATTTTTAATGCGCGGAATCCGAATCCGTGGTTACCAAATCTCTCAACTGGGTCTAAATGTGTAAAAACAGCGATGTCTGCCTATATTTGAGGTGGCATTTTTTTTTTCAAAAAACCATACCGTCTGACCGATGACTGTTCTCTAATGGGCAGTCTGGGACTCCTTCGCATCGGCGGGCCGTCGGAGATCCAGTACTATTTTACAACTATATCAACTTGCTTTGCCCCTCAGAGCTTTCCTCCATGATGCCGCCGCACAATGACAGACCCGCCTGACTTCAGCTTCTCATCCTAACCGTGTCGTGCTTCGTACATCCAGAACTGGCCGATATTACTGCTCCTTTGTTCCTAGGCTATCGAGACAATCTACATGAGGATGCTTTTTCCAGATAGACGGCTCAAAAAAAAAAAAAATAAAACTAGCAAAGTTTCCTTAAGCTCCTCTTAGAAGCCGCTGTGCTTCTTCCTGCGTGGCTGCTTCGATATAGATCAAGTAAACGTCTTGCTTTATCACCTGCCGTTGATATATATATATAAGTCTATCGCTAAGATGTCGTATCAAGCGGCCCTTCTTCACCTATCAACTGAAGGAGGACAGGATGGACCAGAGGGTCATTCGTGGGCTACCCAGGGAGATGTCAGTCAATGACATCAAAGAGGATCTAGTGAGCCAAGGCATCGCAGACGCCGAGGTTCAGCAGATGACCTCAAGGACCACCAAGAAGCCACTTCCGCTCTTCCTCGTCAAGACGAAGATGCCGGAAAAGCTTGCAGAGATCCAGAGGCTGGCCATGCTCACGGTCAGCTTCGAGAGGAAGAAAAAGTCTTCCGAGCCCAGCCAATGTTACCGCTGCCAGCGGTACGGGCACACACAGCGGAACTGCCGTCTCGCTGAACGGTGCGTTAAGTGTGGAGAGGACCACAGCAGCACCAGCTGCAGTCTGCCAGCGCCGCCAACAGGGCAACGAAAAGCCAAGTGTTGCCTTTGTGGAGAAGGCCACCCCGCCAACTACAAGGGATGTAGTAAGGCCCCGAGGAAAGCTGCTTCTGTCCCCAAAGCAGCCCCCACCACAAATAGGACCTCTTACGCTCAAAAAGCGAAAGAAACCTATGTCCACTTCTGCTCCAGCAGCCGCCACTGCTACTGGAACTACTGCGCAGAAGCAACACGGCGATGTCAGACTGCTAGCAATGATGCAGGCCATCATAACCCGCCTGCAAGCACTCGAGGCCAAGATGCAAGACAAGCATTAGACCCGAAATGACTACAGGGCAAAACGTAAAATCTCTACGCATTATCTCCTGGAAAATCAACGGATTCAGGGCACGGAAACCAGAAATCCAGGAGATACTAGACCAGTACCAACCAGAGGTGATGGCCATCCAAGAAACGAAATTGGATGCTGCCCATAGTCTGACATTCCCGCGGTACGAGACGTACCGCTACGACAGAAGAGGCAGAGGTGGAGGAGTCGCATTACTTGTCAAACGTACCTTGACGAGTCATGTCCTCGACGATGCCGCAGACATCAATGGGGACGGAATCACGGTCCAGGTCCATCACAACCACCGTCCCTACAGGATCACCTCCCTATATGTGCCACCAGGGGAGGCCCTAGACGAAGATGACATCGCTGACCTCCTGAGAGGCCCAGGAGCACGCATAGTCATCGGAGATCTAAACTGCAAATCTCCGGCATGGAACAACAACGTCGAAGACAGGAATGCAAGGCAGCTCCAAGAACACGTCGATGCCCTGGCGGGGGTCATCGTCGGTCCGGAGCAACCAACCTACATTCCATTCGGCCTCGGGCAACCTGCGGTACTGGACATAGCCATCCTCCGCAACATCAGAGAGGAGTTCGAGATAGAGACCCTGGTGGAAGGATCGTCGGACCACAATCCGATTCTACTAACACTTGGCACAGGGTCTAGAACTCGAGATAGCTTGAGCACCAAACGGACGAACTGGAAGCTGTACAAATCCAACGTCCAAAGGAACATCACTCAAATTCCAACCATCCGATCAGCGGAGGAACTGGACAACGCGGTAGAGGAGCTGGAGAATGCTGTCCTGCGAGCGCACGAGGACAGCACCCGCTCCGAGACTACGGCAGTTCCTAGACACCTAAATGGTCCAGCACCGCACCATATTAGGCACCTGATCAGGGAGAACAGAAGACTCAAGCGAGAACATCTCCAGCTGTTGACAGAGGAGTCGAGAGTTGCGCGAAACAGAGCATCGCTAGCTCTGAAGAACGCACTCGCGGAACTCCAAAACAGCAGATGGAATGCAGCCTGTGCAGAACTAGAGACCCAGGATGGTAAGGCCTGGAATATGCAGCGAACATTCCGTCGTCAACGCACCACGATCCCCACTCTTCACGGCCAACGCGGCTTGGCCTACTCCAGTGAAGAAAAAGCCGAAGCATTCGCCGATTCGCTAGAATCCGAATGCAGACTCAATTACCATGAAGACGAGGACGACAACCACGAGGAGGCCGTGGAAGTCGCAGCCGAAATCATGAGGAATCGACCACCTGGCCAGGAGACGGATCACCCCTCCAGTCCAGAGGAAATCCGTCTGATCATCCGCAGGTTGAAGGTCAGAAAGGCGCCGGGAAGGGACGGCATCAACAATAGAATGCTGAAGAACCTTCCCACCAAAGGCATTGCTGCGCTCACCAACATCGCCAATGCCACTCTGAGACTTAACCACTTCCCGCGGCGGTGGCGGGAAGCCCAGGTTATAATGCTCACCAAGCCAGGCAAGGACCGGAAGTTGCCCCAGAACTACCGGCCCATCAGCCTGGTTTCCTCGATGGGCAAAGTAGTCGAAAAGGCTATCGCCGTTCGACTAGAGAAGCAGGCAGAAGAACTGCAACTTCTCCCCACAGAGCAATTCGGCTTCAGATCCTCCCACAACACGGAACTTCAAGCGCTACGACTGACGGAAAACATCACCAGCGGCTTCAATCTCCAGGAGGCAACCGGTCTCGTCCTGCTGGACGTGGAACGAGCCTTCGATCGAGTTTGGCACGATGGACTCATCGCCAAAATGGAAGCCGCCGGAATCGATGCGAACATGTGCCAACTGATCCAGAGCTATCTAGATGGTTCACGGTGAAGATTGGTACATGCCATTCAACAAGACGACAGCTGGAAGCAGGCGTGCCCCAGGGGTCAGCCTTAGCCCCCTGCTCTACAACATCTATACTCACGATGTGCCGAAGACAGCTGACACAATGCTGGCCCTATATGCAGACGACACTGCTATAGCCGCCAAGCATAGACGACCCGAGATCATCCGTAGGAGACTACAGGATGAACTGGACCACATCCAGGACTGGTGCGTGAAATGGAAAATCCGCATCAACGTCCAGAAGACGCAGGCAATCTTCATCCAACGAAGAAGGATTGCAAGACCTCTCGCATCCATCTTCGACGAAGATATCCAGTGGAGCGACAAAGTCAAATATCTGGGGATCGTATTTGACAAGTCCCTCACCTGGAAAGCCCACATAGAAGCTGTCATCGCAAAGACCAGAGCAGCCATGGCTCAACTCTACCCATTACTGGGTAGACACAGCCGGATGCCGCTAGCGACCAAGCTACGGCTGATCAAGGCCATCGCCAGACCTCAGCTCGCTTACGCCTCCGCTGCCCCCAGCTACCGCAAGCGACTTGCTGCTCTAGAGATGAAGCTACTCCGGATCGCCACCAGTGCACCATCCTACGTAAGAAACTCAACCTTGCGTAGAGACCTGCATTGGGACACCATACACGAGTACATGAGGAAAAAAGCGGAGAAGACCTTCGAGAAAGCTCAGGACCACCCGAACGAGCAGCTACGATTCCTCATGGACTACGATCCGGACGAGAGGCCTCGCAACCGCAGAACCAGGTACCCCAGACCAAGGTCCCAGTTGGCACCCGCTAACTGGAACCTTGACTAGGAGACTAGGAGAACTCGCGGTTGCTCCCCCCCCCCCCCCCAACGGCGTGGATGCAGAGGACCAGGAACCACCGGGACCAGGACCCACCGGGACCAGGACCCACCGGGACCAGGACCAACCAGGACCAGGACCCGCCACGACCAGGACCCACCAGGACCAGGACCCTTCAGGACCAGGAACAACATATTGGTAAGAGGACTTGAAACTCTTGATTTTTCGAAAACAAGAGTTTCAAGAGAACCTAGCAGACCCTCTATCGATGATCGCTTAACGACATCGATAGAATGTGCGAGGTAAAGGGAACCAACCCGGCGTTCCCAGAGACTGAAACACATGAGGAGACGTTGTAGCAGACCGCAGGTCACGCACAACACATGGCCTACCGAGACGCTGATGAGTCGGACCACGCGGAGGTTTAGGGTTTAGTGGGTATTAGGTGATCTCCTCAAGACCCTGGAGTCCCACACACGCCGTAGCTCGGGCTATGGTATGGTGCGTAAATGCATTCCCCCCTCACCAAAAAAAAAAAAAAAAAAAAAAGATGTGTTGAAATTTCCACTTTTCTGAATTTCACTGTATTTGATACTCTACTCGTTAATGATTACGTTTTTATTGTTGGGCGAGTTTTGCTTATTGTAAGCTAGATCGGTTCAGCTTTTATCAGAAGAAAGTAAGGAAAGTTGGGGATTTATGGGTTTTAACATTTTTCATGAAATTGTTATTAAATTTTTGTTTTATTATAGTGCCAACCACAACTTTGATGCACACGAAATCATAACGCGTGGAGTATCAAATGCAGTGAAATTCAGAAGAGTGAAAATTTCAACGTAACCTATCTCAGCAAAAAAATATACTTAAACATACTCAACAACATTTGAAAGCGCAATGCGAGCTGAAGATGATGTCTATGTTTTTTCATGACTAAATAGTTCTCCATGCTAGAAATCCTCAAAAATAGGCAAAAATCGCTATTTTTAGGTTAGGATATCTGAAAAACTATAGCCAACTGAAAGCTTTGAATCATACATAGATTCGTATTAAGCGCATCAAAAACCTTCGGGAAAGTATACTCTGGATTCCGGGTAAGAATCTTGTGTAATTTATTTGTGATATTCAAAAATGGATAGAGGGCTTAATAGCAGTGACAATTCTTTGCTCAAGTAGCCAAAGAAGCTCTACATCAATGTACACTTCATAATTTGCCTAGGCGGGAAAATGTAATTCCTCCTTATATACGTAGGTGTGCAATAAATAATGATGATTTTGCAAGTTAGTAGTGGAAAAATCTTTACTCCATAGAAGAAGAATTATTATCGTCTTGAGTCTGCTCAAGACAGCGTTACACTTTTTGCTAAATGCTATTGAGCCGAGAAATATAATCGCAAAATTGTTCCTAAGGCTCTGAGAAAACTTTTCTGATATGCTGAAAGATAGGTGAACATTGATAATAATGACGATAGTCTTGCATTTTCAATAGCATTGTTTACATCCTAGTTTTTTGCTCGCGTGTTAAAAAAGGGATTTAAAATTCGTAAACTGATAAAGAAGCCGATGAAATACTCTATATTTCCGGTCGAAGCAAATTGCCAACAGTATTTGACTTTTATCATGAATACTGGTAGTTCTTACCATACATTAAATGCCAGATTGTCAACCTGGGGAATAAAGGTTACTTTCGTCATTCTGAGCTGCTTTCCAGTGGTTTTTGATTTGATAGTGTTACTCTCCCGAGCTGCTCCAGAAAGAATGCATGAGAATACAACGTGGAATGGTATTGGTTCTGAGCACTACTGAGTTACTCCGAGTTACTCCGAGTTACTCACAGTAACTCAACAGGGTCAATGGAAAGCAGCTTTGAAGGAAGCCGCACTTCCATGTCAAAAGTAGGGTAACATCTAAAGAAATGCAATAAATTACGTCACGCTAGAGCGTGTATGTCATATCTCGACCACAAAGTATTTAACAAAAAAGTCTATTAGTCTATTAGACGAAGTTTGTTATTTTTATTGTATTTTCCGTATCTCCGTTAACTTAATGTAGAGTATCCGAATATTTTAGTATCTTTAGTACTCAAGACTGACTGATTCAGTACTGATTACATGGATGTTTTAAGTTTTTGGAATTATTGAATTTGATGCGTACCTTTTCTTTTGTGATGGCTGTATGCCCGTAGCCAATAGATTTTTGTAGTATTCGGACCGAATGAACCTAGGATAACAGTCTTTCTTCAGCAACAACGTGTAGACATGCTCTTGTGCGGCATCAAATGTGAACCTACTGGGAGTTTTCATCTCTTGGTGCACTCTCTCCATCGTTTTTCCGTCAATGTTGATCTCACATGGCGCTCCCGGAGCCAAGAACTCCCTAACGAAGAAAAATTGCTTTAGTAATGTAGTATGAGCAGTCTTATCTAGCTAGTCATAGCACTCGCACCGTATTCAGATCCAGCACTTGTAGTAAAATTACACAGGTCCACAAGTTAAAAAGTGGTGCGTGCCGGAGGTCCAACTTACTACACTGTTCCCACGTTGAACACGAATCTGATGTCAAAATTTATATGAATATGAAAGTAATTTATATACATATTATAAATGAAATTTTTGTATTTTTCAGAGATCTCTGAGAGACCAAAATATGTGATACGATTACTCTCATATTTGTCCCGCGAAAAAATATTGCTGGACCCCCAGCACGCATCACTTATACTAAGTGACATATAAATCCGAACACCCAGTTTAAATGGTTTTATTTTAATAAAAGTTGGTGAATGTAACGGGTGGGCCATCTATCGGTTTCGATTTGAACCACGTGTTAATTTGACGCTGACAATACTTATGTCAATCTGATTTGTCATAAAATTCAGTATATTATCTCCGCTGAACGAAATGAATCGATTTACGCTTGAGCAACGTTGGGTAATATTGGAAATTTATTTCCAAAACAAAGACAATTGGGCAGAAATTGCACGAAAATGCCGTTCAAAATTCGGTCGCAACGAAGCACCAACAGCGCCCGGTATACGCAAGTTTATTAATAAAGTGCGTGAAACTGGTTTCATTGTTGATGCTCCAACACGTCAGCGTGCTCGTACAGTGCGTACACCCGAAGGTATCGATGCTGTGGCTGCGAGTGTGCGTGAAAATCCATCAACGTCAACACGTCATCGTTCCCAAGAATTGAACATTTCCCGCACCAGTTTACGACGAATTTTGCGGAAAGATCTCGGTATGACGCCTTACAAAGTTCAATTGGTTCAAGAGTTGAAGCCGCGTGACCATCCACTTCGTTCTGCCTTCGCTACATGGGCCAACGAGCAACTAATCAATGATGTCGATTTTGCGAAAAAAATAATCTTTTCAGACGAAGCTCATTTTCATATTGGTGGCTACGTCGATAAGCAAAATTGCCGTATCTGGGGCTCGGAAAACCCACACGAGGTCTTAGAGAAGCCAATGCATCCCTTGCGAGTGACTGTTTGGTGTGGATTGTGGAGCGGAGGCATCATTGGCCCATATTTCTTTGAAGACGGGGACGGCGCAACCGTTTCTGTCAATGGAAACACCTATCGCACCATGATAACTGATTTTTTTGTTCCTGCTCTTGATGGTATTGATGTGGAGAATGTTTGGTTTCAGCAGGATGGTGCAACTTGTCACACATCGCATGCCACAATCAACTTATTGCGCGAAACCTTCGATGGCCGTTTAATCAGTCGAAATGGTGATGTCAATTGGCCGCCAAGAAGCTGCGATTTGACACCATTGGACTATTTCCTGTGGGGCGCTGTTAAAGACAAGTGTTATGTCGACCATCCAGAGACAATTGACCATTTGAAGGCCAACATTCGTGATGCCATTGACGAGATACGGCCCCAAACACTCGAAAAAGTGCTCGAAAATTGGTCCGATCGAGGGCTACTGTGAGGCCAGCCGCGGCAGCCATTTGAATGAAGTAATATTTCATTTCTGAGCGGAACAATTGTACTTCAAAACAAAAAAATAAATTTGGCAATATCTCAAACCGTTTTTGTTTTATTTTATTTTTAAATCGAAACTTTTAAATGGCCCACCCATTATTTATCTTACTGTAAATAACAAGTGAAAAAATTTTCAGCCTTATCAGTTGGACATTCCGGTTTTTATACTGCTTTTTTTTTAATTCACTAACGCTCTAAAAATGAATATTTCAGCCGCAGTAAAGAATCAACGTTGGCGGATTTTGGTTCTTGACATCCTTTACGATCGGTTACGATGCCTAGAGTACGGAGACCTGTACGATTTCGTCAACTTAGTGAGTTTGATAGGGGCCGTATAGTGGGACTTCGGAAAGCTGGACTTTCTTTTCGGGCAATTGCAGTTAGAGTGCAAAGAAGTGTAGACACTGTGGTTAGGTGTTGTCAGGCATGGCTTCGAGAAGGCCGTACGCAAAGAGCAGGGGGCACTGGACGCCGCCGTAGAACAACAGACCGTGAAGATCGCCGCCTAAGATTATTGGCCTTAAGGGACCGTTTCTCCACTACCAGGTCCATTGCATATGAATGGTTTGCAGAACACGGAAGACCTATTGGCATGCGAAGTGTTTACCGACGAATGAGAAGTTTTGGCTTGTTTTCATACCGGCCACACTGGGTCCTCCCTTTAACTCGAGAACACCGACGTAATCGCCTTGAGTGGTGCAGACAACGGTCACTCTGGGATCAGGAATGGAACAGTATTGTCTTTAGTGACGAGTCTCGATTTTGTTTAGGCATGCACGATGGTCGTGCCTGGGTTAGAAGGCGACGTGGTGAAAGGAGGAATCCACAGTTTTTTGTTGAAAGACATGTTCATCACACTGTTGGAGTTATGGTTTGGGGTGCTATAGCTTATGGTTCCAGGTCACCTTTAATCTTCATCAGAGGTAACATGAACGCGCAGCGTTATATCCACGAAGTTCTAGAACAACATCTTTTAGCCTATCTTGACACCCTGGCAGATCCAACTTTCCAACAAGATAATGCCCGACCACATGTTGCAAGAGTCACAATAGACTTCTTTCAACATAATGATGTCACATTGTTACCATGGCCACCAAGATCTCCCTACTTATCCCCAATTGAGCACGTGTGGGATATGATGAGTAGGAGACTGCTCAATTTGCACCGTCCTCCTCAGACTCTAGAAGCACTTCGAGAGGAGTTGGTGGTTGCCTGGAATGAGATACCACAGGAGAACATTGACCACCTGATCAGAAGCATGCCTAGGCGCGTTGGAGAATGCGTAGCACATCAGGGTGCATCCACACATTATTAAAGGCTTTAAAGCAGTGCAATCATTTTGAAATTTTATCATTTACTTATTATGCTTCATTAAGTACTTATACAAAATTTTATTAAAATAAAACCATTTAAACTGGGTGTTCGGATTTATATGTCACTTAGTATATTTATTTTGAAGACCTGTGTTATTTCTCATATCTGCGCTTTTTACTAATACCTATATATAGTCCAGGCGAAATGTGAAAATCTCTGAAACTACGACATATAAGTACACTAAAATCTCTCACTCATTCACCATAAGTGGTGTGTAAAAGAGAATACTGGAGCTTTGTACTGTCACAGAAAAGAATATCTTCCTACTATTCTACCAGAATCGAAATTACCCCTCCTACCATTGTTTCAGAATTGAGATTACCCCTTCTACCATTGTACCAGAATTCTAAGCACTCCCACAATCACTGAAAATGCCTACGAGTATGGCGTATGGTTGTGTTTCGGTAAAAAATTTAGTTCCAGCAAACCCAGGAAAACTCCAAAATGGCATCCAAGTTGCAGTTTGATAATTTGTTCGACAGTTATTTCACTCAAAAGTGATTATGACGATATTGTTCACTGTTTTATTGGGCTGCAGATTCAGGTGCATTTGGAAACAAAAAATCCACAATATTTTTTTTCATTATAAAGGAGAAGGACCAACCAATCTCCTTATATAAATTGATCTTTGTGGAACCAATTGCTGGAACTTCGAACCAAAAACATTTTCATGATACTAGAGGGCAGGTCGCGTCTCAGATCGGGGTCAGTTTCGTTTTATAAAGAGTACCTATGAGACTATGAAAAATCTCGTATTGCTAGATCGAACGATTTGGTCTTTAATCATACTAGAGAAGATATACAGAGTGTCCCGAAGTTAAGGGATAATCCTGCAATTGTATATAGGTCACGTCATGGTCTACTAGGTGATAATTTTTTGTTTTATTAGAAGTTTTATAGTTTTCGAGATTTTCAGCATTCCATTTTATTTTTTGAAAAACTAACTTATATTTAGTTAACCCTGTGCCGTTTCTACAAATATCACCTTTTTTTGACCCAAGTTTGTTTTAACACACTCAGAATTGAGCATTTTATCACGTCCAGTATTATTTTTCTTTGCGATGGCGAAAAACCCACATAAAAGTTATGAAAAGGTCTAAATTTTTATTAAAACTCCTTGTCATTTTGACACCCTGTAGAGTTAGATGATCAAGTATGATCACTGAGCCAAATTGTCGAAAAAGTTAGCCGACTATTTGCAATTTTTAAATGGTATTAGTGTTATTCGCCCTCTGCTGTTTTTTTTTTTTTCGTTTTATTGCAGTTTTGGGGGAGGGTCAGTTTTCGTAGATATCAGAAAATAACAATTTATGGTTTGGATACAAAAAAATGGACAGGATTTAAATTAAACGATAATTTACCTATAAGATATCAATGTAGTAAGGTCCACTGACTGTTATGTTTGTCATAAAACTTTTTTTAGCCTACAAAAAATAACTGCTCGAATGCTCAAGGATGCCTTGATTTTGGAACACAATTCTGTTACTGTGGTGAGCACAGCTTGGCATATAAATTCTCTAAAGCAACCCTTATAAGAGAATTTAGTGGATTTAGGTCCAATGATCTTGGTAGCAATGAAATAAGGCTGCGCAGCCTGATACACCTTAATGAATTTTGTAATCGAAGTGGTTTCGATCTGACCGAGTGTGATGTGCCGGAGTATTATATGGTATTATTATGTTGCAAGAGATGTGTTTGCCTTGATAGACGTGATAAATACTTACCTTTCTCGCATTTTATCACCTACTAAGACCAAGTATAATAATAGTCCTTCTTCATCAGAAGACGTTTGAGAATGTGTGCAGCTATCGGCCTGAATGCGATTTTTAACGCTGATGCTACCGCTATCGCTGTATCGCGCCAATGTGGGAGAACCTTTAATGTTAAATGGTTACCGCTGCTTTTAGGATACATTTGCAAAAAAACCAATAATTCAGTATACAGTGCATCCAGGCTTAGGCTTGCGATCTCAATCCTACGATGTTGGTCAAATTAGGGAATAATTCCGCTGCCCTTGTCCGACTTGGAGTTCTTTGAAAAAAAATATAATTTAAAAAATTTACTTAAATGTAGTTTTTCCAAATGACTCAAACTCGGGCGATAGCAGCCAAATCATATAAGCTGCATGTGAAAGGTATATTATATATATATATATATATATAGGTGAAAAATTAAAGCTTCCCCCTTTTGTTGTGTACTTCGACAAAAATTTTAAGCAAAGAGGACTCTTTATACTTTTTTTATTCTCTCTAGCTTCCAATGGATTTTGCCATTATCATCAGGAGCTGCAATTACATTGATAACAGTAGCAACAATAGTGTAGAATGAATTTAAATTAACCTAACTTACAGTAGTAGGTGAGGATGTTGCTAATTGCTGTTTACGTTCAGGATGAGGAAAACACCCAGTAACATGGTGAAAGCTGGATAAATGGTACAATGGTCAAAATTATATAAAATACACACAACTGGGTGACAAAAAAAAGTTAAAAAACATTAAAAATTTTTAGAACATGAAAGCATTACATCGTGAAGCCACTTGATGATTGCACAAAATGGTGGGCATGGAATAATGAGTAAGATGAACCCTTTGACAGAAGGCCGAAGGTTGTCAGTGTCTGTATATATATATATTTCCTAATTCGACCAAAACTATAACAGCTTTTGATATTGTAATCTTCACCTTGGACACTGTTTACTTAACTGTTAGTTTTTTGCGAATGTCTCTCAAAGGCTGCAGCAACCAAGGGACATCTAGCAATGCGTTGGTGTATTTGTAACATAGCTAACCATTCTATCGGCTTACGCTCCAATAACATCCTCTGGTATGATGAAAATCGTAAATGTTGGGCCTAAATATTAAAAACTGGTTCTAGGTGTACAGGCCTATTCGACCCGTTCAGAAGCCCGAGTTCGAAGTTCATGTGATGAAACGTTAACTTTGTTGATTTTCCGAAAGAATAAAATCAATTTTAACTGAACTTTTAGCCGAGCAAGATAACAGATCGTAATTTGAAGGGCATTATTGAAGTCCTGGGACAATTTCACTTCGGAATAATATAATACGGAGTGGGGCTTAATGCTTTCCAGGGACAGAAGTAACCAGAGAAAGAACTTGTCAAACAGACTAGCATTCCCATTTGTTTGTAGCTTCATACTTTAGGGACGTCACAGATACACTCCAAAAAAAGATGAGCCCGATCTGAGCCATGACCTGCCTTCCATTATAATTAAAATGGCCGATGTTGATTCAAAGTATCGAAAATATAAAGACCCTAGTACAAAACTCAGAATGGGAGGGTAGCCCAGTCTTTGTCGTTTTTTTTTTGTTTCGGAATGTGTTTGAGTTGCCAGTCCAATAAAATAACGAAAAATTTCGAAAAAATCGGTTTTGACCGAATAATCTGGCGACCAAGCAATTTGGACGTCATTTTTGAGTTTCTTTGACAAATTTGCTCCAGAATATTCAATTGTTACGAAGCTTTCTTGTGACAGGAGTAGCGAATAAGTGAAAAAGCTCCCAAAACGTTAAAATTTACGCTTTTCCAGAACAGTCAACCTTTGTTACGCGTCTTCAGATCTAAATTTTAACCTAGAATCCTGAACATTTCCTAGAAAAAAATTTATAAGTCGTGATTTGCAACGCAGTCACAAATCATTGTACTCTCACCATTTTCAAAATAACGTCGCAAACGTTGTAGCACATTCACCATTTAATTAGAATCACTCAAATGTTCAAGCCTGATCCACATTTATATTCTATACTCACTCGAATATATCCTGCACCTTCCACGATATCTGCGACTGCGCAGACCTCCTCAAATCATTTACCGCCATCCAGAATCGGATGTTCTCGTGGCTGTACTCCTTTCGCAGGTAGTTGGTGAACTCCTGAAGACCCGTAGGGTCTGAGACCAACTCCTCCATGGACAGCGCCCATCGTTTCACCCGTTTCTCTGTCGGTGCGTCAACCCTACAATGAGAAAATCTCCGATTTGATGAGGTTTTGGGGTTGCAGTGGTAGTTTCCATATTGTAGTGCATTCACCAAAATTGAAAAAGTTCTAGTTTAAGAAAAATCATTGGAGCACAAGTGTTAGTTAGAATTCCTTCCAAAATATTTTACTTGTGTGTGCGGATAACATATCGAAGATAAACAAAGTAACGGAATGGCTCTGTGCTTTTCGAGTAAGTTTTTTTGGGAAAAGGTCAAGGGTCAGGTTTCTACTAACTTTGAACCAGGAGTTCAACAGTGATTTTGGACGTGACCTTGAGCCTAACGATCAAGGTTGTTTCCTAAGCCCAACCTTTGTTTATGATGAAAAGCCCTTTTTGACCCAGTAATCGACAGAACGGAGCATTCGACGATCGAATGTGTATCAAAATCTAATCTAAAGGTCAAATCCAGGTCAAATGTGTGACTTTATGGAAAATTATTAGTAGTGTAGTGTCCGGAATTAAATAATTTTAGGATTTTCACTTCATAAACCTAGTTCCGAACCTAAAGGATGTAAAAAACGTCAAACATTTTGTGAAAAAAATGTATTACACTAATTTTTTTGAAAAAGTGGTTGTCACCCGAACGAACCAGTAGGACCACCAAACAAAAACTTTTACCAAAGAAACAAAGCATTATCTTTCCACAACATGAGGCTAATCGACATTATGATATGCAAGAAAACAATTTCTCTTGTCATTCAGGCATAAACCTACATCGCAAATCGTGCAACTCCACATATTCCTATGAGCTTCCTTTTTTGTGCTGCAGATGGCGCATCGTCTGGAAGTTCCATATATAGGCATGTGAGCAGATTTTTCTGTCCTTTTTTCAATGGGAACGTATTTTTTATAATGATTTATGGGTTTCATTGATTTTCGACCTTTTTTCTTGGTAATGCATCCCGACGCAAGTCCTGAAGAGACATTTATCCTGAACTGTTTCAAATCGAGAGTCGAACCGCAGCAGCGTTTTTGAAACAAAATGTACGCGTTGACTACCGTAGTATCGACAAAGTGACAAACTATCCTACGGTACCACTTCTTGCTTTTTCTATCTATCGCATAGCATTCTTTTAGCATGTCAGCCTTATCGACGGCACAAACATGTTTATTGTAATCCACAACCAAACACGGACAAGTTACTTCTGACACAGTTCCATCTTTATTCTTTCTATTGATTGTTATGGTAATTTGACAAGAAATAAACAGGTTTTTTGTCTTTCCATTTTAGACATACCAACATATCATTTGTCATTCTGCAGTCATATTGGCCGCTAGTTTTTTATCATCGATAAAGTCATCTGGCAAATATTTTTTCCCTTTTCTCAAAGTGCCACAACCACATAATTCCATTTTGTTTCAAGTAGCTGAGCAATGGAACACTTGAAAAATAGTTGTCAAAAAAAATTCTATAATTTTGTTGTTGCAAATCTCTTGTCAAGTCTTTGACTACTCTTCCTCCTAAATCTTTTTGTGGCAAGTCACCAATCTTACCAGAATATATTTAAAATTCGCAAATATACCCTGAATCAACAGCCCGCACCCAAACTTTGTATCCACTCCATTTATTTATTTCTGTAAAAAAAATAAATGACCGTTTACAGTCCTAGTGGTTACCTTAAAAAACCACTACACATTACATGGAACAAAACCCAGATGGTAAATTGATCAATTGAGTCGGAAGGTATGAAATATTACAGTTATAAAACTAAATACTGACGTGTCATTTCAATTTTCACTCAGTGTGTTCACGTTTACAAACAGCCGAAAAAAGACACGCGGAACCTTCGCAATGGATAAAGAAACTTCACGGAAAACACACTTCCTCGCACGGGGCAGAGCCGTCAATTTTTTTCCCGATAGATGTCACTAACGGTAATACTTTTAAACCGCGGTAAGGCTACCCGACCAGTAGGACTAAAATTTACGTGTTTTAATATAGGTGGTTACATGGATCGACCAGTAGAACAGAAAGGGTTAATAAAAAAACAAGGTCAGACCTTTAGTAACGTTTAACAGGGTTTCCAATATTGACTATTGACCTATCTTCATAGTCATGGCAGTTCATGAGAACATATTAGAATGTAAAATTTCCTATTGAGAGAGTCAAAGAGAGAGGTTCGCAGCTAAAAAGGAATTGAGTTTTAAACGATTTGAAGTTATGTTGGAATTCAAGATTGAATACAAGGTCCCCATGAAAATCTTTTTTTAAAAATTACAAAGACCTGTCCTTAAAAATGCCCTTCATTAATAATCCTGCTAAGCTTCTACGAATGTTTCCTAAACTCACGCACCTTTAGGGCCGTATCGTCAGTCGTTATACAATAATTGTAAGACGCCTGTATGGCCTCCTTGTTTTTCATAGTATTTTCTCTCCTCCAGAAAGGCTGGGGTATTTCTAGATTTCTAATGTTCTGAATCAGCGTCAGCGCACCCATATTGTGAGGCTATGTTTTCTTTTTGAATTGTTGGAAATTTCAGGTCATATAACAGATAATGATCAAAAGCATGAACGCTTTGATGCAAATAGATTTTTGTAACATAACCTCAAAATAGAGCGCTGACAAGGAACAGTGGAAAACTATGAAAAGCAAGGAGGCCGTAAAGGCATCCTACAATTGTAGGAACGACTAACGATTCGGCCTCAGACCTATATTTGACAATTGTAAGTGACATTGGTCTTAGGTGTAATACATATTCGGCAATAGAATTTTCCATTCTTCCTATTGTCGGTATAGTCCAGTAAATGAATATTTTTGGTGTGACCTTAAATTTGGATCTAGGTAATTGACTTTTAATGCAACCGAAATTTCCGGATCTTGCAGTAGGGAAGGACTGCAAAAATTTTGAAATCATTTTCGATTTTTGCTTTTTTGTTACGGATAAATACGTACAGAAAAAAGATATTAAGACAATTTAGTAGTTTGATGTACTCATATACAAAACGCTGTCCTTGCGACATTCTCATATCTACATTCTTTTACGAGATCAAGTTAAATTTCTCAGAGCTGTCATTAGGCTATGCGTAAATGCTCGTATGGGGGATTTTCGAGGCGTCTCATTGATTAAATAGTTTTGTGAGGCATTTACCAAACCCTGCAATTAATAAAAACTACAGAATAATGTAGTAACGCGAATGTAGTAAAATTGCTTCAAGAAATTCATCTTGTAGAAAAATGTATTTGAAAGTGAGCATATACTTTTTATGACGTGTAGTGATGTTTTAGGGCGTCGATCTTTTCAAAAGCATCATAACAAAAAATGTGTATGTTTTCATTTTCTATTTGTTGTAGAATAATTATGCTCAGAAGCAAAAATATCTACTTCTCAGAAAGGAAAATTTACAAAGTTCGACTTTTCTTGGTCATTATTTACAGGCAAATGTTTTGGACATTGTTTAACAATATCTTGAATTAAAATTAATATAAAATATCTATAATAACTGATTGAGGAGTTGAAAGCATACTTCGTTGAAAATACTAAACAGTTTTTCCGTATTGTTTGAATATATTTCATAGACAAGTTCAAAAAATTACAATTTTGCAAAAAAAAACTTTTCTCAATGTGAACATTTTTAAGTAATAATTTGAGAATATACTTTTGAAAATACTAACCAAAACTTGCGGATTGGAGTCAAAAACGATGCCCTCAATAATTCTCCCCGAAATATATACGTAATTACAGGGTTTGTGGCTCAGTGGTAGAATATCTGGCTGAAGGTTTTCCTGACACCAGTAACGATTTTCGTGATTTGTTTAGATGTGTGGCCCGGAGGAAATAATAGTGTTGTTAATATTTTCAGATATTGTATACAGGGTGTTTCATATTCGACCCTCACCATTGGAAGACGCTTAAATATTGGCGAATATGCGTATTTAGATAATCAGTTTATTTGTAGTGCGATTTAATAACAACTTGCATATTAACATTGCCATTTTTTCTCCTCTACAAGATGGCATAATTGGAATTTCAATATGACGTTTCGTCTCTTGTCCTCCAGCATCAGCTTCATTTTTTCTTGTGGACGCCTTATTCGATTTTTGCGCAGATGAATAGGATTTCTAGTTCTGATTTAAAAAATTTATATGTCGTACATTGACATTGCCAAACGTTAGTTGTTCCAGAGAAACAGAAGTTTCTATGTACGACTTGAAATTATCAGATTTCATTTGTTTCATTTATCAAACCAGATCTCAAATTGAACATAGTAGAGTTTGGAAGACTGAAAAGAAAAGAGATAAATCGAGTAGTTCAAAATTTACAGAGAAGAGCCGGGTTCAGTACAAAATAACGGACAACATTTTGAACATCTGCAATGATCTACCTCTGCCTATTTGTGATTATTATTGTTATTACCATAAATCAAATTTTCATTTTGTGTGTTATACCTTCTCCTTCCTTTCCATCCAACAACAAATTCATGACCAACTAAGGAAAGGCATAACCGAATCTACGACTTAAGTCCATTTAAATGTACAAACTTCCAATATAGCGTTCGTAAAAAACAAAAATTTTAAATTTGACACGTCATCTTGTAGAGGACGATGAATGACAATGACAACAAATTCTGCTTTTTTCAAATAACGTAGGCTTGGCAATGTCAATGTATGACGTATTGTTCAATTTTGGAATCAAAATTAAGAACTCTATTCAGATGTGGCAAAATCAAACATATTGTCCCTGAGAAAAAATGAAGTTGATGCTGGAGGTCAGGAGACAAAGAGTCATATTGGAATTCTAATTATGCCTCCTAGTAGAGGAGAGAGGGTGGCAGTGTTAATGTGCAATTTATTTTGAAATCGCACTACAAATAAGGCCAGGAAAAGTTCAAACGATTTTGAGAAACCTAATTTAAAAACTTTCTATGCAGCATTTTGTTGATTACCTAAATACGTAACTTTACCCTCAATTAAGTAAATTCGTATCTCTTACAGTTTCCGAAATTCCAGTGGTGAGGGTCGAATTTGAAACACCC